GGGGCCTCAAGGGTATAAGTATCCTTGGTTCGCGCCCACTTGGCTTGGTATTTTTCCGGCACGTGAGACAATCTGAGCGGGAGGTTTGACGTCGAGGTATAATGATGTGCACCGTCGATTATTGTCCGGTACACACCATTAGAACTCGACTGTCGATAAACCGGTTGTACTCAGAGAGGTTTTCTACAGTTTCCCTCTTCTCTGGCGAGAAAACCCATTGACGGGTGGTCCAGGCGTAATGCGAGTACTCCTAATAAAGTCGGCTGTAGACGCAAAATTAGGTTAATATATAGAAAAATTTTCTAAAGTAGAATGGTTATGCTTAATCCAAAAAAAAAAAGTATTTCTCGGGGACTCTTGTCGAAGTGCGTAAGGCCAATAGGGCAGGAGTATAAACAATAAAAAAAAAAAAAAAAAAAGTTACAGTAACAATATTCTTATATAATATAAAATAATGATTTTATTACTTGGTCATCTTTAATTATTATAAAACATGAAGAAATCGATCACTCCGAGTCTTCGACTCGGAGCAATTGATATCTTCATGTTGAAAAACAATACTTTTATAAGTTGTTTAATTTAAAAAAGATTTGAATTTTGAATTTTTGAATGTCTTAATTCCTGTGGAAAATCCTGTTCCAAAAATAAGATTAAAATAGAAATTGTGCAAATATTTTTCTTCTTTTTCTAAAACAAAATAATAATTTTGTTAATAAAATTGTGATTAAAAAAAAAAATAATGGAAAATAAATAAATTTTCTATTTCTTAATCACAGTTGTTTAACAATTTTCTAATTTTTTTTTAGAAGTAAAGAACAAAAATCTGCATAATTATTTCAATTTGACAAAACATAATATTTAACAAAATTTTAGTCTTTGAATGGAAAGAAGTGAAAAAAATTCTGATGATTTCTATTTGTCGTTACAATTTTGAATTAACTATAAAATAAAAATAATTATAACATAATAATAAAATATACAATCTATCTAAAGTTAACAAAAAACAAAAGTATAAACAAAAGACAACTTCAGAGTGTGAGGGACAGAAAAAGTGAATGAATGAATGAAAGAACATTTAAATTATTATAGTTAATTTATAACAGGCCTGCACAAATGTGTGGCTCGCGAGCAAGAGGCTGAGAGAGAAATTCCCCCTCCATGCGGGCGCTCTGCCTTGGCAGGCGGAGTGAAGCAGGCAGAGCGCCCGCATGGAGGGGGAATTTCTCTCTCAGCCTCTTGCTCGCGAGCCACACATTTGTGCAGGCCTGATTTATAAAGTGCCACGAAAAGAAATGACAAAAAGCTAACACATCAGTGTTAATTATAATATTGAAACAAAAACTAATAATACTAGTAAATTTGTAAAAACAAATTGACTGCAGAAGTAAATATTTTATTTATCATAAGTAAATACCCTGAATAAAAAGTCGGACTTATTTCGGACTAATAATAATTAAGTTTAAAATCAATACAGTTTTTTTTATAACTATTGAATCCGTAATTACCCAATGGGAAATTTACAACTGGCGTAGTACTGCGCCAGCACTGGCAGCACTGGCATGGCACTGGGATGATAACGCCGTCTGGCGCTGCCGAAGTACTGTCTGTCAGTGCTGCCAGACAGCGCTGGCGCAGCACTGGACCAGTGCTGGCTGAGAATATTGCCGCAATAAATGCCGTATTGTTATTAATTAGTCGTAAATTCATAATTATAAATAATTTAACAACAAAATGGTAAATAATATTAATAAATAGTTATTATTCATAAAATATTTCTCTTCTTAAAGAAATTGTATTAAAGATGGAGACTAACAATGGATATAGTAAATGAAGTAGAAAAAAATTGTTTATAACATTTAAAAATTAAATAATAAACAATTACAGTAAGTGTGCATTAGATTTTCATATTTTAGTACCTAACGATTGGAATCTAGAAATATCGCAAACCTATGAAAATAAACAAAATTGCTGACGAGGGGAATCGAACCTACGACCTACGGACTAACAGACTAACGCTCTAACCACTATGCTAACGACACATGTGTACAGTAAAGTATTAATATCTCAGTATCATTCAGACGTACAACTATTGAGTCAAAGATGAGAAAAAAATTGGGACACGTTAGAAATAATAAATTGAAATAAAATAAATTAAACTAAATTTTTAATAATTAAATTAAATTACTTTACTTATTGCATTTAACATTTTACGTAATTCTTAAATTACGTGGTAATTTTTTAATAATTTTTTATTCATAGTAAGAAGTATAATAGTATTTTAATAGGAACCAAATTATTATTGAGATTAAAGTTTAAATTTTGTTTATAATTTTAATTTGTTTAAATAATTTATTATTTACAAAATTAGACAATTGTGTTAAATTGTTATTATTAAATTTAATAAGAATAAAAAATGAACAACTGAAAAGTAAAATATTAATTTTTTCAATAAATTTATATTTATAAACATTTATAAACTTTTTTTATAATTTTTTTCAAGTTTATGTCAAAAAAGCAATGTTGGCAAAGAGCGTTGTGAACAATTTTTCTATACACAGCCAGCACTTGCCGCCGTGGCTTGTCCAAGCTTTGGCGAAACAAAAATTCTGTACTGCGCCAGCACTAATTAAGTCCAGTTAATTAAGTCAAGATTACTCCAGAATGATTTAGGATTCATAATTTCGCTCGGATTGATGTTAGATTAACGCGAATCATTTTCAGACATTTTTCGTACAATTATCGAACTAATCCACACTAACCCAGTGGGAAATTTGCAACCGGCGCGGATCCTCGCCTGTACCGACGCCGGAGTAGTGGTACTGGCTAGGAACCGCCTGCCTACCGCCCGAGAACTGGTATTCTACCAAAAGATGACTTGGCCAGGAGCTGGCTGGCCATCCGTCTCGGAACTGGCATTCTACCGCCCGGTAACCGGCCGGGAGAAGCCGTTCCGTGTATAATTCAACCGGCTGGGACCCGGCACTGTACCGACTGCGGATCTTTCATTTAATAGACAGATGTGCGCTGGCAATGCTGGCATTCTACCGCCTGACAACCGGCTCGGATCAAAATGATAATTTCAACAAATATCAATAAAAAATAATAATTAATTGCAAAAGATAAATACGGATGACAATTCATTGACAGTTCACTTTACACATTTTTTTATTTCTTTATACACTTAAACGCAATTTTTTATTACATACACATTTGAAAAATCCTAACGCTTGGGGGTACGAACCTACGCCTAACCGAATATTTACGCACCGAAATCTCGCACGCTAACCACTATGCTACGCTCGCATGGAACTCTCAAATCTTAAATGCTTTCAAGTCTCACTAGCTAAAATGAAAATTGTAAAATTACTACGCGGCAATAAACAATTTTCAAATACGGACTGATGTTATACCGGTATTTATGAATATTTTAATATTTCGTTTAAAAAGGAACTTGTTAAAATTGTTATTTTATTATTATATTTTTTAATATTTTATTACGTAATTATTAATAATTGAATGAAATTTGAATGCACAACACATTTTTTTAATTATTTAATTTGCAGAAAAGTGTCAATAAATAATTACTTAATATATTGTTTAAATTAAAAAGAGATTATTAATTAATTAATAATAAATTAATTAATAATAATCTCTTTTTTATATATTGTATTTAATATGTTAGGTATTTATTGTAGGCATTATAATATATTGATCACATTTTCTTTCAAGTTAATATTATTAATTATTAAAAATTATTTATTTAATTGCACATTAATAAAGTTGGATTTTTATAAATATAATGAAAAAATTAGGTTTCTTATATTTTTCCTTTGCATCAATACAATTAATTTATTTATTGGTTAAATAATAATAATAATAATAATAATAATATTATTATAATAAATGCAATTAGTTATTGTAATAATTAATTAGCTATGATATATATAATAAAATAAATTTATGATTATACTGATAATGTGAACTATAACAATAAATGACGAGATCCGCAGTCGGATCCGCCCCAGCACCGAGCCAGTACAGACCTAACATCCATCATTCTTCCGACGCCCGTAGAAGAATGAAATCCGCAGGCGGAACAAATCCAGTACCACGCCAGTACTGACGAAAGTAGAAAGGTGGATCCAAAATTCTGAGCCTAATCTGTTCAACGCCGGTTGAATTTTGGGATCCGAATCGGTACAAAACATCGGTACTGGCGGTCCGCACGGGCGCGGATCCCAGGCGGTTGTAAACTCCGACATTCGTCCGACTTTTCCTCCTGGGAATATGCCCGGATTTAATCTGGATTAACCCATTAATGACCATCCAAATTGAAGCGGACTAATGTCGGATTGGATTAAATCCAGATTGTTGCAGACAATTTTCGTATTCTCAGCATATACAGATTTCGGATTGTTTCGGATTATGGCTTTTAATTGGATTAAATCCCAATTGTTGTATAGACAATTTTCAAATTCGTTGCATACAGTTTTCGGATTGTTTCATATACTTGTTTCAGAATAGGATTTTGCCACACTTAATTTCAAATTGTTGTGGACTAATATCGGATTACTTGCTCACAGAGTTCGGAATGCTCCGGACATTTTGCGGATTGAGTTTTTTTAACTAGATTAAATTTGGATTGTTGCGGACTGATTCCGTATTCTTTACATATTATCTTCGGATAATTCGTACTCATAAATTTGGATTGTTGCGGACTAATTACGGACTAAATTTGTAGACATTCAGGATTACATGGAAAAAATAAAGTATTGACAATAAAAAAGTGTCGATTATTGGCGATTAATTGGTGACAATTAGTGATTGATTGGTAACAATTAGTAAGTAATTGGTAACAATTTGTGCAAGACTGTATATTAAGCTTGCCGCAAGTATTACGTGCTATCTGGGGTGTAATATAAAAAATAGAAAACGAGCAATAAAAATTCCAATGAAAAACTAAAATTATAGATGTATTTTTCTTTGTTTTATTGTTTTAGGTTGAATATAGACCGTGTCTTGTTCCGGGAAATGCTTGGGAATTGATGCGAGAATTTCTTCAAGGCTTTCTTGGTTCCACTGTGTCAAATCAGGCACCGCAATACTTGCAGGTAAAAGATAAATTTCTGGATTAAATTAAATCAAGCGCAACTAAAAGTCATGTCGATGGATCGATTTTTTTATCAATACCAAGACGTGCGTTAATTTCAATATACGATATATGTATATAAGAAAACAGTGTTGAGAATAAATTCAAGGTGTAAAGTGACATTAAGACGGATTAAAGTCAATGGAATATTCTTAGGTAATCAAATTCAATCGTACATTTTAATATTAATATATTGCGTAATTATATATTGATTCCCTTGCGAGTATATATATATAAACATATCATATTCACTTAATATTTAAATACAGTTTCTGAAGAGGAAATTTTTTTATATCTTTATAAATCTTTTTTCCAGTATACTTATCATAATTTGGATTCTTATTTAAATTTAATTTTTATTCCATTATTTATGGGGAAAGAGATACTCTTTCGTAATTTTTATTTTTGCTGTAAACGAGAGAATAAGAAGAAATTTGTTTCGGAATTCTTTTCTTGAAGTTCTTGAAGTTCTGAAGAATATAACTAACAACAAACAACTGGGATATTTGTTCCTTTAAATATGGTTATTTTTTATTTGTCTCTATTAGTTTATTATAAGAATAGTACAAAAACAGCAGTAAAAAAATATAAATACAAGTAGTTACCCAAACGGCATAACATTTAATATTTAGGGCAATATTTTCATAATATTTATTAAATTCGTCTTAATACCAGACAATGTTGGGGTAAAATTGACATACAATTTTTATTAAAAATAATTGAATTTAATTTTATAATTTAAATTTTAGGATTTAAAGTTTTCAATTATAATTCTAATAACTTTAATTTTATAATTTCAATTTTATAGTTCTAATTTTATGGTTTCAATTTAAACATTTTTTTTTAGAAATTATTTTGTTTTCCATAATTTTTTGTTAATATTTAAGTGAGTTTTTTTTAATTAAAAAATTTTTGTTTAAAAAATGTTATTATTTTTAAAATTGTTATATAATTTTAAATTTAAAAATTTGAAAATTTACGTTTCGAAAAAAAAAATTTTGTAGTTTTTTGTCCATATTAACCGGAGATATTAAACTTTTAAAAATCCAAAATTTTGGAAAATAAGACTTTTTTGAAAATTTCGTTGAAAAATGTAGAAGTAACTTTAAAAGTATCGGCACCAACTTGTAGAGCATTAAAAAACGCTTTGATTGACCTATTTTTGATTTAATCTCTTTTACCATGAATTTTATATAAGAATTTTAAAAAATAACTAAATTGTTTCTAATAATTTTGTTACAATTTTTGATAATAATTGAATTCTTTCGGAAAATGTTATCTAATTTTTTAAAAATAATTGAATTGTTTCCAAAGATTTTTTTGAAATTTTCGAAAATAATAATTCAATTCTATAGCGAAGAATTTAATTGAAGAAAATTTTGTATAAATAATAGAATTCTTACAAAAGACTTTAATAAAATTTTTGAACATAATTGAATTTCTGCAAAGAATCTTATTATAACAATAAAATAAATTGAATTCTTGCGAAGAATTTTATTAAAATTTTGAAGAATAATTAATTCCTTTAAGAATTTTGATTAGAATTATATTAAACATAATTGAAGTCTTCCTATTAATTTCTTTAACATTTTTTAAAAGAATTAAATTCTTGCAAAAAATTGATTGAAAAATTAAGAAAATAATTGAATTGTTTCGAAGAATTTTATTAAAAGTTTCAAAAATAATTGAATTTTTTCGAGGAATTTTATTATAATTACATTGATAAATGGAATTCTTACGAAAAATGTAATAAAAATTTTTTAAAAATAATTGGATTTTTATTATTATAAAAATTCTATTAAAAATAATTGAATTTCTACGAAGAATTTTAGTGAAACTTTTGAAAATAAATAATAATAATTATAGTTAATCAGTTAATTAGTACATTTTTTTAATCTTGAGTCTGAAATTTAAAAAAATTGAATTTTATATTTAAATAATACCACAATATTCTGCTCAAATGTTGCGCTATTTGAGTACATTTTACATTTTATTAACGATCAATACTTAATCTTCATATATTTTTTGCAGAATCGAATGAACGAAATTTATCAACCAATGGACACAATTCATCAATATTTGGAGCATTTTGGTCAATACCGCAAAGCAACTGGAGTTATATAGTTATTTAAAAAAGAAAAAAACACAATTTCGATTTTTTACAAATATTTTTCTTTTTATAACGACAATTAATTATATTTTTATCAACAATACTTATTAAGAATACTTATATTATTTTAAAAACAGGTATTCAATTTTTTAATTTTACTGAAACGACTATTTGGTTTTTAGAATTAAAAAGAAAATAATTAGTCTATTACTAATTCAAAAAAAAGAATAATTCGGTAAAAGTAGATTGTTACCGATTGAAGAAAAGTGTGAGTAACACAGTTAGCGATGAACGATATTGCAACTTCGACTCTAAGCTTCGAGCAAGTGATTACAGAGGGAGAAAGTGATCTGGAGTTGTACTTTTTGAATTTCAATTTCAGTGTATGTATTTTGTCAATTTAATATATTTTTTGTATTGATCATTAAAAAACATTTTTTAAAGTATTTTTCAATTGTTAACTAATTTTTCTTCTTTTTTTTAACTATCAGCTCTCATGAGAAAACTGAAATCAGAAGAAAGAAATAGAAATAAATAATTGAATATGCATACTATTCACTGTAAATATTTTTGCGTTAATAGTTTATTTTATGATTAGAGATAGTACTTGATAGTACTAGTACTTGTCTCACCACCTCGTGTTAATTAATGCGTACAATTCAAGCATCTAATAAATATGAATCGAATGTGATTGAGCAGTTTTCACCAGTTTGTCAATTGTGACAAAAAAACACATATACGGTAATTATTCTTAAATATTTAAAAAAAATTTGTTTTAATGTTTTACAAACAGTATTTTATTTAGTATTTGTTTAATATTTAATAATTATATTACGCACTGAAAAGAAAAATTTATTTGTTTCAAATAAACGATTAATTGTCTATTGTCAAAAAAATATATATTTGAATCGTGTAAATGTTTATTTGTATCAAGAAAATATTTATTTCTACCAAATAAAATAATATTCATTTATATCAAAAAAAATAATATTTACTTATATCAAATAAAAATTTATTTCTACCAAATAAAATAATATTCACTTATATCAAATAAATGTTTATTTCTATCAAAAAACGATTTATTTGTATATCAAATAATTTTTATATGAGTCAATTAAATGGCATTTGCGGTATCCGGTCATTTTCCCGAATCGAATACTGAAATTATTGATTCAACTATAAAATTTATTTGATTCAAGTAAATATTTAATTTTTCCGAAGTAAATTTGACGAGTTTCGAAATAGATTTTTTTAGTAAAAATTATAGCAAAATTTACTCCGAAAATATTAAAATTTTTATTCTGAAACATTGAGAATATTTAACACTCAAAATAATAATAATACATTTTTCATTATTATAAAATATAAATAATAGGAATATAAAATCATTAATGTCAAAGGGATTTCCCGATAAATACTCTTATTGTAACTTATAAAAAAAACTCGTTAGCCTTGAATATTTCTCTCGTATCGAAGTTAAGTTAATGGTTTCATTACATAGGGTCAAAGATCCTCTTTTGTCCACATTTTCCATTGCATGGCATTATTTTTTCATGAAACTTGACTTTAACTACATATTTTTTTCTCTGCTTCATCAATAAAAGACATTTTTCAAAAATTTTCTTTCGAAAAAAAAATAACAAAGTGAAGTGTTTATTTTTCATTAAATATTAAGTATTAAAAATAATGCTAATTTCTTCGATTTTGAAATTTTAAATCTTGGAGTTAAATATTTCTTGACTGCAGTTAATTTAAAAAATTATTTTGTTTAAAAATTATATTTATTTATAATAGCTTAACCTGCAACAATTAAAAATTGTACTGTATTAGCAAAATTAATTATTATTATTAATTATTATTATTTATTGTTTTCAAACATTTTAATAAAATTCTTCGAAACAATTCAATTATTTTCAAAAACTGTATGTAATAAAATTCTTCACAAGAATTCAATTATTATCACAATTAATAAAATTTTTCGTAGGAATTCAATTATTTTCTAAAATTTAAGTAAAATTTTTCACATCAATTTAATTATTTTTATGAACAATAACATTTTTCACAAGAATATATGTGGACGTCGACATGAAAAGGGCCCATTTTGGCACTATTGGAGTTATCTACATGGGCGTATTCCTGGCAAAATTTGGAAAATTTTGAGTGGTCTTAGAACTTTTTTGGTTAAAAATTCGCTGAGTTACGGAATTTCAAAGTTTAGGACTCCAAAAACCTCATTTTAAGAAAAACGGAATTAAAGATTGCGATACCAACTAATTGTTGTATCTCTGGTTCTTCTTCTCTGGTTCTTCTTCATTTCAGATAAGAATTGTTTCCAGTTCAGGGCACCTTGAAGATAAAAAACCAACAGGTTTTAAATTTTTAAAACCATCCCCCCTCTTAATTTTGAAAAATTTCGTACTTAAGTATTAAAAATCGACAATATGGGCCCTTTTCTAAAAAGGAGAATTTTTCTATTAAAAAACCATTTTTATACAAGATTAATGATTAGGTACAATTTTATTGTGTAATTTGAAGAAAAATAATATATATTAAACTTATTAAAAATTTTTTGACAGTCTCTACACTGAGAAAAAAGAGGGCGCGTTACAGCACATTTTCGATTCATGTTGCGCGACTCAACCCTGAATTCTTCTACACACTTTCTGGGGCGTGCAGCACGCCCCAAAGAGCGTGTAATACGCTTCAAATACAGCTCGCCTCGACTCAGGGTGCGATCCCATGTGAGCAGAATACGTCGACCGAAAGCAGAAAATTATGAGAGTGAAAAGAACAACAATATCTACCTATCTCTTTTGCACTCATGATTTTCTGCTTTCGGTTGACGTATTCTGCTCACATGGGATTGCACCCTCAGGGGTCCGCTGCACGCCCCAGAAAAGTGTCTAGCAGAACACAGGGTTGAGTCGCGCAACATGAATCGAAAATGTGCTGCAACGCGCCCTCTTTTTTCTCAGTGTATTATGAAAAAAATGATGCAATATCTAAATTTTCATTTCGACAATTACGAAAAAAAGACTCTAACATCAATATCTCTGGTTCTTTTGGGAAGTTATTCAGGTAAGAATTTTTTACAGTCCAGGGTACCTAAAAGATTAAAAACCAATAGGTTTAAAATTTTTAAAACCACCCCCCCCCCCTCTTAATTTTGAAAATATGAAAAACCGCCAATATGGGCCCTTTTCTAAAAAAGAGAATTTTTCTATTAAAAAACCATTTTTTAAAAGATTAATGATTAGGTACAATTTTATTGTGTCATTTGAAGAAAAAGAATAGATATTAAACTTATTTAAAATTTTTCGACAATCTCTATTATGAAGAAATCCACGCAATATCCAAATTTTCATTTCGACAATTACGAAAAAAAAGACTCCAACATCAATATCTCTGGTTCTTCTGGAAAGTTATTCAGATAAGAATTGTTTACAGTCCAGGGTACCTAAAAGATTAAAAACCAATAGGTTTTAAATTTTCCCACGCCTCCATTTTTAAAATACGGATTACTTTTGCAAACGACCGACAATATGGGCCCTTTTCATTTTTCTAAAGAACCAATGAAATCAAACAGTTAAATTATCGATAAATTAATGAAAACCGCATGATTCGACTTGTCAAAACATGTAGATTGATGATAAAAAATAAAAAAAATTAAGATTTTGCTCCAAAATTACTAAATTGCGATTATCTCGAAAACTAGAACCGAAAACATGGGCCCTTTTCATGTGGACGTCCACATATATGTATTTTCAAAAATAATAAAACTCATTGCAGAATTTCAATTATTTTTAATATAGTTTTAATTGAATTCCTCGAAAAATTTAATTATTCTGAAAAATTTTTATTAAAAGTCGTCAAAAAAATTCAATTATTTAAAAATTTGTTGAAAAATTCTTTATGAGAATTAAAGTCTTCAAAATTTTCGTAAAAAATGTTATTTATTATTTTTAATTATAGTAAAATTCTTGGGAAGAATTATATTAAAAATTTTTAAATACATAATTAAATTCATGCAAAAAAAATTATTTTTTGTAAAAATAATTGAATAATTCTTTTGGGAGATTTTTTAAAAACTTATTTGACAATTAATTTAATTTCTGCAAAAAAATTAGGTATTACAGTAGGATCTTTCAATAGTGCAGTCGTCGGGAATATTGTGCACTGTTCGAAGCAAGCAAAAACTAAAACATTCAGGTCCGTGTCAAAAAAATTAAGGGTCCCCACTATACTAAATACCGGGCACCACTAAATGATACTAAATAATGAAATGAGCGGCGGCACTGTATTTGACGTCACAGATTCCCTTTCCCTTTGTCCCCCGAAACCCCTTGTCTACTCAACTCACTAATGACTGCACTGTTCAGAACTGCACTATTGAAAGATCCTACTGTATATTTAAAAGTAATTAAATTTATGCAAAGAATTTTCAATTATCTTTATTAATAATCAAATTCTTCTTTAAAATTCAATTATTTAAAAAAATTTTGATAAAATGCCTTATAAATTTGAAAAATTATAATAAAATCAGTCATAGAATACAATTAGTTTTGTAAAATACAACATTTTTTCTAGAAATACAATTATTGTCAAAAATGTTTGTAAGACTCTTCGAAACAATTTAATTATTTTCGTAAAAAATAAAAATTCTTCGAAGCAATTCAATTATTTAAGAAATTTTAATAAAATTCTTCCCAAGAATTCTTTTTTTTCAAAAATAAACATTTTCACAGGAAAACAATTATTTAAAAAAAAAATTTTTTAATTCTTTGTCAGATTTCAATTATTGTTAATTTTTAAATAAAATTGAATTATTTTTAAAAAGTTTTTAAAAATTCTGAAAAATTCAATAATATTTAAAAAAATTTGAATAAAATTCTTCACAAGAAATTAATTATTTTCATAAATAACAAAACTTATCACAGAATTTCAATTCTGGTTTACAGTGAAATTGTCAATCGAACAAAACAATTTTTTTTCGAATAGTAGGTGTTTTTTGAGTAAGAAAATCATAGTTTTAATTTTTTTCCCTCGTGCAGTTTTTCTGTAGCTTCAAATTTTGCATTTTCGAGGTGCGACGCCACTTAAACTTACCTGTAGGAAAATTAGCTTGTCAAAATATAATAAATGAGGTATTATTGGAAAGGTTATTAAATTACCTTTCGATCCATAGGTCACAGAATAAAATTCAGCAAAAATTGAGAGAGTTACAGTCGATTAAAGATGAAATTTCATGACAATTTTGATGATTTTTAGACATTTGAGTAACTTCTACTATTTTTTTCTACATCAAACAGGAAAGTTTTAATTTTTTTATTGATAGACTATATCATTACACAAATTTTGAGCCCTTGTGGACCTCGATTGGATTAAAAATGACAATTCTACACTAAATTTAGTGAACGAAACTACATTCTTCATTTTTAGTATCCCTTAAACATTTGCAGCAAAAATTGAAGTAATAAAATTTAGTTAAGCTCTAAAGTTACTAAAATCACTAATAAAGGATTTCTGAAATCGTAGATTTCGAATCCAATGTTAGTTTTCTAAATTTCAAAATGGCGGATCCAATATGGCGGACAAGTTTTTAAAAATCGATTAAATTCGTCTTAAATTCGTTACTCGGGGTTTTCGGGGTCGCTGATTACGAATCTGATGTCAGATTTTAAAAATTAAAAATGGCGGATCCAATAGGTGCGAATTCGATGGATTTTAAAAAACTCGTTCACCATTATGAATCCATCCTTTTCAATTTTCGAAATCCGACATCAGATTCGTAATCAGCGACATCTACGATTACGAAATCTACGATTTCAGAAATTTTTTATTAGCGATATTAGTAACTTTAGAGCTTAACTAAATTTTATTACTTCAATTTTTGCTGCAAATGTTTAAGGGATACTAAAAATGAAGAATGTAGTTTCGTTCACTAAATTTAGTGTAGAATTGTCATTTTTAATCCAATCGAGGTCCACAAGGGCTCAAAATTTGTGTAATGATATAGTCTATCAATAAAAAAATTAAAACTTTCCTGTTTGATGTAGAAAAAAATAGTAGAAGTTACTCAAATGTCTAAAAATCATCAAAATTGTCATGAAATTTCATCTTTAATCGACTGTAACTCTCTCAATTTTTGCTGAATTTTATTCTGTGACCTATGGATCGAAAGGTAATTTAATAACCTTTCCAATAATACCTCATTTATTATATTTTGACAAGCTAATTTTCCTACAGGTAAGTTTAAGTGGCGTCGCACCTCGAAAATGCAAAATTTGAAGCTACAGAAAAACTGCACGAGGGAAAAAAATTAAAACTATGATTTTCTGACTCAAAAAACACCTACTATTCGAAAAAAAATTGTTTTGTTCGATTGGCAAAAAAAAGTTTTTAATTTGTAAACCTGTGTTATTTTTATAAAATTTTAAATCAAATAATAGAAAATTGCATTTATTCTTACAATTTTTTTTTTAAATTCGCCGAAAGAATTCAATTGTTATTAACAATTTTGATAAAATTCTTCATAACAATTTATTTTTAAAAAACATACAATTACTGAATAAATTATTTCTTTTTGTATTTAAATAATATTTAATTCTCGGGAAATTTTCTAATAAAAATTGATTAAAAAATGAATTTCACTTAAAATTTTAAATTATAATTGAATATTAAAAACATTATAGCGTGAATTTTTAGAAATAATTGAATTTTGAAACGGGTTAAAATTAAAATCTTTTTAATTTTTGAAAAAATAAAATTTTACGTCCGGACATAGAACTTTGTATATTTCTCCTCTTCTCATTAATATTTTAATTATTAGAGAGAGAGAAAATTTAAAATGGAATTTCTCGTTTCGTGACAGAAAGTTTATATACATAGCAGTGTATTTGCGTGACGTTGGCATAACTCGCGCCGGTGCTCTCTACAGAAAATATTCTCCTGTTTTTAAAGCGCCCCTATCCTCCATGTGGTCGACAGTGAAAACACCTTGTGTCGTGGTCGAAAAACGACGCATCATAGTTGTCTAGACTCTCCGAGATTAAAGCACGGAAAGCCGAATTAAAATTTAATAGAAAATAATGGAGGTAAATTAATATAAATTACAATTTAAATTTTGCATACCGATCAATTTTATTCAATAATATTTGATTTGTTAATTGTAATTCCTATTTTTTCACACAGATCGAAGTTCTTGTCGCTTCAAACTCAAAATTTATCGAAAATGTCAAGGTATGTAAATAAATTTTGAATTTTTTTTTAAAAATATGAACTTTGTGCTTTTTGGTTTTTATTGGCGTTTTATAATCTGCAGTGGTGATAAAAAATGTAAAATGTAAAAAGTAAAAAGTAGTGAAAATATTAAAGTAGCAAAATTGGAGCAAAATATTGATAGTAAAAATAATAGAGACTAAAGGAGACAATAATAATGATAGTAAACATAATAACACAAGGAAAAATAATCAATAAATAATGTTGATAAAGTAGTGAAAAAAGTGTTAATATTAAATTGGAATAATAGTAACCATAATGATAATTGAGTAATGTATTAAAATAAGTTAGTTTTTTATTTTCACGTTTTTAGATTTTTTTGTTCTAAACTTTAATTTTCAAAAATTTGTATTTTTGTTAAGAATTCGATCGTGAAATTGAAATAGACTCAAGTTGAAAAATCGTAAGTGTCATTTTCGCTTGACAATAGAAAGTGAAAAGTGTCTCTTACGGCTTTCGGAGTTGATCCCTTTTTAAAATTCACGCTTCAGTTAAATAAAAGTATTGTCGTTTATTAAATAATAATTACATACTAATAAAGAGTAAATTTTCATTTTTGACTTAAAGTTGAGAAATGTTTATTTATTTATTTATTATTTTTATCGTCTCTTTAAATTAGAATTAGTAAAAATGTTTACTCATTTGAATTAGTGACTGAATTTCTACTTTTAAATTAGTAAGTTTTACTAATAAATTAGTAGAAATCTCTATTTATATTATTTTTATTTATTTTTATATTTATTATTTATTTCTGTCGTCTATTTAAATTTGAATTAGTGACAGACTTTCTGCTTTTGAATTAGTAAACTTTACTAATAAATTTGTAGAAATCAATATTAATTAGTAACATTTACTAATTAACAAGTAAAAAGTCTGTCACTAATTAAAATTCAAAGAGATGATAGAAATAAATAATAAATAAACAAATTAAAATAATAATAAAAGTAATAAGATAAAAAATTTTTAATAATTGTGATTTTTACTAATTTATAAGTAAAATTCACTAATTCAGTCACTCAGATAATTCAAATTAGTAAACATTTTTAATAATTAAAATTTAAAAAGATGATAGAACTAAATAATAAATAAATTAATAAAAATTAATAATAATAAAAATAAAATACATAGTGATTTCTACTAATTTATTATTTATTATTAGTAAAATTTACTAATTCAAAAGTAAAAATTCTGTCACTAATTCAAATTAGTAAACATTTTTACTAATTAAAATTAAAAGAGATGATAGAAATAAATAAAAAATAATAATAGTAAGATAATAAAAATAAAATGGTTATTTCTACTAATTCAAATTTAAAGAGATGATAAAAATAATTAGTAAATAAATAAATAACAAATAATAAGATAAAATAAAAATAAAACAGTTATTTCTACTGATTTATTAATAAAATTTACTAATTAAAAATTAGCGATTTATTTATTAGTAATTACTAAAATTTACAAATTCAAATTTAGAGAGATTTTTAAGTATTCTGATTATTATTTAATTGGCGTTAAATATTTAATATTGTTTACAATTTTGTTTACAGAAAAATAATATGTTTGGGGCAAAATTTCTCAAGTGTACCAATGTCAAAAATTGCAAGTTGTTGGATCGGGCTAATATTTTCACAGTATTTAGTACTATGTATGAGTACTTCAACCACCAAGTATTATGAAATTTTATAACAAATTGTAGAGGGGGGAGAGGGTTGAAGATTTTGGATAAGTATGAACAGTGAGTTTTCTAAAAAATCGTAGCTTCTATATAATAAAGCAAAAAAAATTTTGACCTACATGTTTTTGGTAGGTTTTTTCACTCTCTTTCAAATGGTGAAAATTTAAAAAAAAAAAATTCAAAATTTAACCCTTTTTCTTGAAAATTAAAAATTTTTTTGATTTTTTTTTCAAGAAGGACCCTTTTTTTCTCTTTTTTTTGTACCAAAAGAAAGCTTAAGATGTGTACTTTCAATAACTAAAACGAAAAAAATGACTTTTTTTTGTTTTCGAATTATTAATTAATTAATAAAAATTAATAAAAATTGAAATATTTTACAACAAAATAAAGTTAACACAATTCTGAAGTTACTACTGTAAAGCACTACAATATCCGCATCCAGCGAGTCCAATATGAAGTATTTTGGATAAATTGACGTTTTATAAATAAATATTTATAAAAATTAATTAACAAATGAATATCATTTATAAAAATAAAGATAAAGTGTTAGTTTTTTTTACACAAATGTTTATACAATTCTACTTTTAAAAAAATGTATTCCAGTTATTTGCAACAATTGTTTAAATTAAATATTCATCACCTTATGCGTGTGTTGCGCTGCATAACTATCTTCCCGGCTTAATATTATTTCACATTTTCTATAGAATTTTTCTTTATTTTTTACATTTTTGATGTAAGAAAAGATGATTTCTTTTTTACATCAATAATTTTTTATTATTTTAATATTATTTATTATTATTAAACAGGGTGTCTACTAACCGGGAATTCCGGGAAAACCGGGAAATAACCGGGAATTTTATTTGACCGGGAAAAACCGGGAATTAGCCGGGAATTTTATACCGAACCGGGAATTTTTTCACAAAAATTAAAAAAGTTTTATTATTTTAATTTGTTTTTAAAAAATCAATTTTTATTTCAATTTTTATAGATATTTATACTGTTCTCTAAATTTAAGTTAGTTAAAAATAATTAATTTGATGATAAAAAATCAGTTACCAATTCAAATATATTATGTAAATAAATTTTTAAAAAATTATGGAGTTAATAGAAATATTGTGAAATTCGACTGAAAATATGTAATTAAATTTGTTAAAGAAATTCATTAGAAACTTTTTAACAAATAGAATTTTCAAAGTATTTTAATTTAATAATTGATTAATAATTGAATATTATAAAGAGTTAAATTCTAATGTATTCATGTTTCTTACTGCGAAGATTAATAATTAAAATTTTTATTAGTTAATTTAAAAAAATATACATACTTAAAATTGTTTAATGAAATTGAACTTTCGCAAAATTTTTTTAAATCTAAAAAATAAAATTGTTGTAATTTTTCAATTCTATTGTTTCAAGATAATTGAATTTTTCTAAACAAATCATTGAAATTTTTTTACTTTTTTTGAAAAATAATTGAATTTTTTTAAAGAATTTTATTTAAATTTTTCGAAAATAATCAAGGGAAGTTAGTGACCATAATTATAATTTTATTTTTAAAATTTTAAGTCCCTCTTACAGTTTTAAATCAATTTTTTGCTTCTAAAAATTATACTATTCTATTATTATTTAATAATTATAATTATTGAACTTCTCTTAAATTTTTATCATTTTAAATTTCTGAATGTTCAAATAAATGATATTTATTTATTTCTTGAGCAAATTAAATGTTTATTAGATATTAAGTAAATAATTAATTATTGCTGCTTATTATTTTCAAAAAATTTAATAAAATTCTTCACAAAAATTAAATTATTTTCATAAATAATAGCATTCTTTGGAAGGATTCAATTATTTTTATAAATAGTAAAATTCTTTGCAGAAGTTCAACTATTATCAATGTAATTTTAATAAAATTGAAAAATCCAATTTTCAATTATAATTAGAAAGAGACAAGATTATTTTTAAAAACTTGAAAAAATCATTATTTTCAGAAAATTTAATGATTTATTTATGTTTAAAATCAAATTTAAATTTACATTTGATAAGAAACAAACCGGGAAAAAATTAGGATATATCCGGGAAAAACCGGGAAATAACCGGGAATTTTGTTAAACGAAAATAGTAGACACCCTGATTAAATTATTTTGTAATTAATTTATTAGGAATTACGTAAAAACTTCTTGTTGATATTAAAATATTAAAAAATTATTAATGTGAAAAAAAACCATCTTTTCTTACATCAAAAATGTAAAAAATAAAAAAATATTCTTTAGAAAATGCCAAATAATATTAAGCCGGGAAGATAGTTATTCAGCGCAACACACGCATAAGGTGTTGAATATTTAATTTAAACAATTGTTGCAAATAACTGCACGGAGAAAAATTTTCAGTTAAAATTACTATTAAAAATAGAAGCTGAAACTATTTCACATAGTATTTTCGTGACACATCGAGTTAATCGTAAAGTGTAATATTTTATTGAGTATTTTGTACTATGGTATCAAAGTATTTGATATTATTAATTATATTAGTTCTAACTATGTAAATATTTTTTGGAACTTGGTTAAATAGTAAAGGTAACTTTTCCGCCTAGAAAATATAACAATTCCAAATACTTGAACCTACTATGAGAGAAAGACTAGCGCGCTATGCCTCATGGTAATCTCCACTATTTTTAAATGAATGACTGCGCGATGAACCACATGGTAAACTCCACTATTTTAATAGTGCACGACGCTAGTGCTAAATGACTTTGAACATAATGTAAAATTGTCTTCAGACAATTCAGTCGAATTTCACTGAAAATCCGTTAAAAATAACTGAAATTTCAGTCATTTTCTACTGATTCGACAATTAAAAAACTACTGAAAATTTATGTCACACATATTGAAAATTTCAGATATTTTTTAATTGGCCAATCAGTGAAAAATGACTGAAATTTCAATCATTTTTAACTGATCTTCAGTGAAATTTCACTGATTCAAATCGCGAGAATAGAGTCACTGATTCTCAGTCAAATTTCACTAATTCATGGAAATTTTAACTATTTTAAATAAGGATTGTAATTTTGTGGAATAACTGAAATTGCTAGAAACAAAAGTTTTAATAAATTAAAAGTAAAATTTTTAATTTAAATCATCAATAATAATTTTTATTAATCTAAAATAAATATATACACAGCAAAAGTTTAAAATAATGAATACACTTAATTATAATGGTTTCAATTTGTAGTCTTGCGCTTATAATTACACAATTTCAAATTGCTCATTTTTTTACGAAAAAACTGACGTCATCTTAAAAATTAAATTCACTTTTTAGCAATGTATTCAATGTTTTCAAATGACTAACTGTACCATTTATAAACTTTTTCCAAACTAAACTGCTGCACCTTGGTTAGTTTTTCGCTTTTCGTTTGTTGATCCGTACTTCATCTGTATTGGTGTGATCATGGTAGACAAAAGGTGTAAAAGCACTGCATCTTGAGCGTCTGTAAAATTAAATAAAGTCAGCATTTATTAAATAAAATATATATAGAATATTCAAATATCCTGTATACAGACATACTAATAGTTCCAAGTTACATGTTCAGAAAGCAGTGTTAATTTGTGTAACTTTAATTAATTAATTAAATATTAACTAATTTAATAGTACTATAATTTTTAAATATTTACCTTAAATTCGATAGCGCCTTTAGTATTTCAGGACATTTTTGGCATCATGACGCCAACATTCAACACTATACTATATATATGTTCATGTATAAATCAAAAAGTACTTAAAATTACGATTTTTTCGCGAAAAGTTTAATCACTCAAACAAACATTTATTTCACTTTTTAATTTTTTATGCATGTTTTATTAAATTTAAATAATAAAAATTTTAATTTAAAATAGTTTTACGAATAACGTCTTTAAGTTTGGAGTTTTCAGAGACGACTGAATGTATACAGTACACGTTGGTATACAGAAAGTCTATTTTTAGAACTAAAAACGATGCTGATGGCCATTTCTATTACAAAAAAAATGTACTGTGTTGTGAACACATGTAATTTCACAGTGTAAAATGGTAATGTCCACCATGTAAAAAAAGAATTTCAGTTATTCATTGAATCAGTGCGTTAACTTGGTTTAGTAGGTCTTAGACCCATGCGCTATGAGTGGACCGTACTATTTCACATAGTAAAAGATCTTTTACTATGTGAAATAGTACGGTCCACTCATAGCGCAAGGGTCTTGCAGCTATTATATTCAGACGTTAAGGGGCAATTTTTCTCCTTGATTTCTTTACTATGTGAAATAGTATAAACTCCTACAACAAGTAGAACTTACTGCTATTATAAATACACATTTTTAGTTATTTCTAATGGCATAAAATAATATGCATTAATGTTATAAAACACTTTTTAATGGAGAGTTTTCGTTATGTAAGATACTATTTTGACTGACTAGCATCATAATTGCCGTATTGTAAATAATATTTTCTCCTTTTCTTAAATTGTATTTGGTGTATTTAAAATAATATTCCATACTTTGTATACTTTAGTAAAAGATACTTTAAAGCATTAACTGAAATAACTACACACTTTGCAAAACATCTAACGCGTCATAGTTAAAAAAACTATGTAAAATAATTCAAGATACCATTTTTAAAAAATGGTAATTTCTACTATGTACAAATAGCACTATTAATCATGAAATAGTACTTAATATTAGAACTGGTAGTTTTTTTAATTATATCTCATAATGATTCGATATTTTACTATGTGAAATAGCGTTTTTAACTTGGTTTTCAAAAACCATTTCTCTGCGTGTGGAATACATTTTTTTAAAAGTAGAATTGTATAAACATTTGTGTAAAAAAAACTAACACTTTATCTTTATTTTTATAAATGATATTCATTTGTTAATTAATTTTTATAAATATTTATTTATATAAAACGTCAATTTATCCAAAATACTTCATATTGGACTCGCTGGATGCGGATTTTGTAGTGCTTTACAGTAGTAACTTCAGAATTGTGTTAACTTTATTTTGTTGTAAAATATTTTAATTTTTATTAATTAATTAATTAATAATTCGAAATAAAAAAAAACGTCATTTTTTTCGTTTTAGTTATTGAAAGTACACATCTTAAGCTTTCTTTTGGTACAAAAAAAAGAGAAAAAAAAGGGTCCTTCTTGAAAAAAAATCAAAAAAAATTTTTAATTTTCAAAAAAAAAAGAATAAATTTTGAATTTTTTAAAAAAAAATGTTCACCATTTGAAAGAGCGTGAAAAAACCTACCAAAAACATAAAGGTCAACATTTTTTTTGCTTTATTATATAGAAGCTACGATTTTTTAGAAAACTCACTGTTCATACTTATCCAAAATCTTCAACCCCCTCCCCCCTCCACAATTTGTTATAAAATTTCATAATACTTGGTGGTTGAAGTACTCATACATAGTACTAAATACTGTAAAAATATTAGCCCGATCCAACAACTTGCAATTTTGAAATTGGTACACTTGAGAATTTTGCCCCGTTTATACATCCGTAATTGTGTGGTAATAGTGAATTTATGTAAAATATTATAATGACAGGAAATATTGGAAAAAGAAAATTTATAATTGGCGTTTCCAGGTCAATCCAAGTACGACGATAGGTGAAATAAAAAATGGACTTTATAAGACTAAAAAAGCGCCGTACTCCGATAGGCAGAGCTTGAGAACGCAGCCGAAGGGAAAATCATTGGCTGACACGGATACAATAAAAAGTCTCGATTTGAAAGCAGGCGCAAAATTATATATGAAAGATCTTGGACCGCAGATTGGATGGAATACAGTTTTCCTTGTTGAATATGCCGGTCCACTCATTGTTTACCTTTGGCTTTACCAAAGACCCTGGTTATTTTATGGAACTATAGATAGTAAAATGCACAGTGTAGCTCAGTGAGTTAAAAGAAAATAATTTACTCTTTATTTTTAGGAAATAATTATTTCCTACAGTGAATATAAATTTATTTCATTCAATTAACCGATTACTTGACTACTGTCAATTAAATATTTACTTGAATCAATTCATTTTTATTTGAGTCAATTAAATGGCATTTGAAGCAAATAAAATTTATTTGATTCAAGTAAAATAAAAATAATTTTTTTTCCAGTGTAATTTTTGTCTTCAATTATTCTGTATACCAAATTTTGGGTGTGAATTTTGTAATTTTTCTTTTTGAGTTTCTTTTTATCGTTAGGTTGGAAATTAATTATGTATAGAGATTTCAGAGAAATTCTTGACCTTTTTTTTCTTTCTGAAAAAATAATATAAAGACAAATTAACTTTATCGTGTGTCACGTTAATTTATTTAGTTAACGGTATTTTTTTCTTGTGTAAAATGCTTTTATAATAACAGTGATATTGCAAAATTAAAAAAAAATCGCTCGGTGTGAAAAATTCTATTCTTCCTGAAGAATTTCAGATTAAAGGTCAAAATTAAATGCATATTCATTAGAAGAACAGTAATAGTAATTATTACGCCAAACTTACTTCTTTGTTACAAATAATTGTTGACAATTGTAAATTAGTTATTTATAAATTTTTATTTTTATATATTTATTAGTATATATATTTATGAATATATATATTTTCATTAATTAATTTATTTATTTCATATAAACGGGTTTACAAAATATACCTTTTATTAAAGAAAAAAGAATATAAAAATATATATAAACCAAAAGGGAGAAAAAAAAACTAGTCGTGTTCAAAGTTATTAAATATTAATCGACGTCTTGTACAAGAATGGAAAGATTTCACCATAATCCAAATAACATTCGATAAATAAGCGTCGTTTAAAATTAAATTTAGGAGTAAATATTGTTATCTCATGAACTATAATTTATATAATTATTATTTTAGATGTTTATAAATTAATATATTTATAAATTTATAAATGCAGACCTCGGATAAAATTTGACATTTTACGACTATTTTCAGAAAAGACGACTTTTCTCGACTAATTTTCAAAAAATGAGACTTTTTCGACTTTTCTTTCAAATACTGCAAACAAAATAATTGTTTTTTGCCATAAAATGCAAATTACTTTGACTTTTATAGAGTAAGAAATAATAAGTCACAGATTTCCAAATTTATTATTGGTTAGTTTTTCTATAAGATAATTAAATTAAAATTTTGTAAAATTTTATTAAAAATGATTGATTTTTTTAGTACTTTATAAAAATTTTTGAAAATTAAATTTTGACTAATTTTAAATGCAAAATTAAAAAAACAATTAATTTCTTCAAAGTTATGAAGAAAAATCAGAATGAAAATTAATTTCTTCAAAGTTATGAAGAAAAATCAGAATGAAAATTAATTTACAATTATTTATTGAATATCTCTCTCTATTAATATAAAATCATTTCGCCACCACTTTTAATATAATTGATACCGAATGATAAATTCCTTTCCTATAATTACATTAATAATGTTATAATAATATTATCATATTATATTTATTGAAATTTAATTTCAAAAAATAGGTAATTCTTAGAATTTTTTATACAATTTTTAAAATCCAATTATTTGTAACATTTTCATATTTTCAACATATTTTAAAAATTTCAAAATATATCCAAAAATAATTACATTACAATTTTTTTAAAAAATCCAATTTTTTACAATTATTAAGAAAAAAAATTTTAATAAAATTCCTCCAAAGAATTTCATTATTTTTAAATATTTTAATGAAATTTTTTTTAACAATTCTCGAAAGAATTCAATAACTTTGAAATATTTAAATAATTGAATTCTCGTCAAAATTTCAAAAATTATTAAGAATAATTTATTCAGAGAAGAATTTTAGTTAAAAGTTATTGTAAATAATTAAATTTTGGAAGGATTGCAGTTTTAATTTTTAAAAATAGTTTACTTTTAGAATGTTTGAAATTGAAATTTTTAAAATTATTTAAATTTCAGTGGAAGAATAAATAACAAGTATTGTAATTTTTTATTTAACAAAATTATTTAGTTTTTGAATAATTGAATTTAGAAATTAGTGAAAGTTCACGAAAATACAAAATGAAATTTTCGCGACATACTGAATAAAATAGACGACTTTTTAGACTATTTTAAATCTTTAATCGATCCAAGGTCTATAAATAAATAAATTTGGAAATAAGTAAGTTCGAAAAATAAGAAAAGGTATCAAAATGTTTTTTCTTTAAATATTTTAAAATTTTATTTAATTATATTTATTTATTTTATAATATTTTATTTATATTTTCCTCTTTTAATATTTCAGTTGGGCAGCTGTTTGTTGGACGGTTCATTATGCGAAAAGATTACTTGAAACCTTATTTGTACATCGTTTTAGTCATGCGACGATGCCAATTCGAAATTTATTTAAAAATTGCTCATATTATTGGCTATTTGCAATGTACGTCGCCTATCACGTTAATCATCCACTATTCACTCCTCCAAGTCATATGCAATTTTTAATAGGAGCTACAATTTTCTTCTTGTGTGAATGTGGAAATCTCAGTATTCATTTGGCACTTAGAAATTTACGTCCACCAGGCACCACTGTAAGAAAAATTCCAGTGCCCAATGGAAATCCATTCACTGCTCTCTTCAATTTGGTGTCATGTCCAAATTACACGTACGAAGTTGGAAGCTGGCTCGGCTTCACCATCATGACCCAATGTCTTCCAGGTGAATTTTAATTTTTTATTTTACTGTCTCATATCTTTTCAAATATAAACAGTTTATAGTTTATAAACAGTTATTATTGTTTATTAACAGTTTTAAGTTTAACTTCAATTTTTTAATAATTATATATAATAGATTCATTAAAATTAATTATTATTGTTTTGTATTCTCAAAAATTTTAATAAAATTCTCAGCAAGAATTCAATTATTATCAAAACAATTTTAATGAAATTTCACTAAAGGATTCAATTATTTTTATAAATAGTAAAATTCTTTACAGGAATTTAATTATTTTCAATACAATTTTAATAAAATTTCACAAAAGGATTCAATTATTTTCTAAAGTAAATAAAAATTGAAGCTAACACTCGGCAAATTTATAATAATAAAGTTGAAATTATCGATCACTCCGAGTCAGGTTGAACTAATGTTGTTTATAAAATTCAATGTAAAAATTGTACTGCATCGTATGTTGGTGAAACTAAAAGAATGGTAGGAGTACGAATTAATGAACACAAAAATTCAAAAGTTGGTGTCACTGCAATTCATAGAAGTTCACTTAATCATAATTTTGACTGGGAAAGATTTCATATACTTGACAAAGAAACTAATGAGAGCAAACGCCTAATTTCTGAAATGATTCATATTAATTTGCAAAAGAATTCGATAAATAGAAAGGATGACACTCAAAATCTTAGTAATTGTTATATACATTTTCTTAACGATAGGAAATATTTGTGATTTCCACTGTTTAATCGTACTGTGACGATTAAATTTCCTATTTATTTTCACTTATTGTAATTAGTTTAATGACCTTTCGATTATTTATCATTGACAGACTGTGTAATAATTTTATATTTGATTAGTGTCAAGTAGTAATTTGCGTTGATCAGAACGTTTGACAATCTACAAGTTTTCAAATGTTTAATATTATTTATTCGTTTTAACAAAATTTTTACTGGTAAAAGAAATTTTAATAATTTTGTCATTTATGTATTTTTTTATTTATATTGTTTATTTTGAAAAACATTTTTCGTTTTGTTTATGTAATTTCTTTTAATAATTGTTTATAATAAAATTTTAGTTTCTGATGAGGACGGCTGTGCCGTTGAAACGTAAAATATAAAATTTGTTATATTTTTTTCAACCTGACTCGGAGTGATCGATAATTTCAACTTTATTATTATATTTTCTAAAGTTTTAATAATTCTTCGAAATTATTCAATTATTTTTATAAATAGTAAAACTATTTACAGCAATTGAGGCCTTGGATCCAATAACTCGCCCGACGCTCGAAGGCACGCGCTAATACCAGTCGGGTAGCAGTGAGTGGCCCAGAGGCGCTCACTGCTCACTGACTGGCAGTTGCGCGTTCCTCCAAGCGTCGGGCGAGTTATTGGATCCAAGGCCTCAATTCAATTATTTTTTTAAATTTCTAATAAAATTTTTTGAAAGAATTCAATTATTTTCAAAGATAATAAAATTCTTCTAAAGCAAATTAATTGATTTTCAATTCATTAATTTTGAATTTGAATTTGATTTAACAATAAATAATTAACAATTAAAAATTTGTTTTCAGCGGCACTCTTTGCATTTGCTGGCGCTTATCAAATGACACTGTGGGCTCTTGGAAAGCACAGGTTGTACAAAAAGGAATTCAGCGACTATCCAAAATGTCGCAAAGCAATAATTCCTGTGATTTTGTAATTATTTACAAATTTTTTTTTTACAAAATGAAAGGTGACATTTTTTATTTTAAGTACAAAAAACAAAAAATAAGTGACAAACTTTTCGTTTTATTCACAGTTTATACTATTTAAATAAAAATATTTGCGAAAAATGTATAAAATTCGATTTTATTCTTACGGACACGTTCGGAACTTGAGTGACATCTTTGATTCACGAACTAAAAAATTTAGACATTTGTTATTTAATAGTTAAATTAAAAAAATACTCTGAGTAAAAAATACTTTCAGTAGAAATTACCGCCAGGAAAAAGTACTGGTAGTAGAAATTACTCTCATTAAAAAATACTACCAGTGTAAAAAAACCGTCAGTAAAAATTATTGATAGTAAAAATACAGACAGTAAAAAACACTGTCAGTGAAAATCACTGTCAGTAAAAAATACTACCAGTGAAAAATACCGTCAGTAAAAATTACTGGTAGTAAAAAGTGCGACTTCTTTCGACTTATTTTCAAAAATTACGACTTTTTCGACATTTTTTCCAAATATAGAAATAATTTTTAGTATAAAATGAAACTTATTTCGATTTTTATATATAAAAATGTGAAAAATAACTATAGACAAATCTTCAAAAAATATTTTTTAATAATTTCTCGAATTAAATTTTCGAAATTTACAATTGAAAAAAGTGTCAATAAATAGGGGAGAGTCTCCAGTTGTGAGACGGGTTTCATTTTTGACCCGTAAATTGTAAACGGGTAAACGAAATTGTAAATAAAATACACCGTTCGAAAGGTAACAGAAATACGCAACTTTTATTAAAAGAAAGTGTAGTGTTTCGATGAACTCGAAAAATTTTACGATACATTTTCCGAGCATATCGCTTTTGTCAAAAAAAAAAAATGTCTCCAGTTGTGAGACACTCATTAAAAATTGCTAAAATTTAATAAGTTTGACATAAAACGTTATGTTTAGTAGAAATAATTAAATATATTAATAATATATATTATTATATACTAAATAATAATATTTATTCGCCAAAATATGACTATCAAATAAACACAATTTCATAGCTTCAACAAGAGCATTAAAATTGATTTCTTCTGAATCAATTGACTTTTTTCCACTTGACATGCCCAAAAATACTAGAAAAAACATCAAAACAACATTTAAATAGTATGCCTACAAAGTCGTATTTTTTATGCTGCCCAGATGGGTGTTGACACAGTCTCACAACTGGTGATATGCTGTGTCTCACACCCAGAAATTGGCGCTATTTTGAAAAAGGAAAATTAAATTATTTTCAACCGTAGATTGGAACAATGCAATATTGCATCACAAAATGTAAGGAAAACACTAAAAGAAAATGCATTTACCTTTTCCAATTAATTAACTTGGAAAAAAGTACTTTGCATTTATTGAAAAAACGCTTTTTAGTCGATTATCACACACAGTGTTGGTATTTAACAAAAACAGTTTATATTATATTCGCTTCGGCGTACACGAAAAAGTTGGCCCATATAAAAAGAAATGTTTTTATATAAACCAATCGGCTTTTAACTATTGCATGTTAACAAAAATTGACTGTCTCACAACTGGAGGTGTCTCACAACTGGAGACTCCCCCCTACTGAAATTTTGTCAAATTTAATTGAAAATAATTGTTTTTTTTAAAGTGTTTTATAGAAATTTGTGAAAATCAACTTTTAAAGAATTTAATTGCTAATTTTGTAAATAATTGAAATTGAATTCCTCGGAAGAATTTTTTAAAAAAATTTTAATGTATTTCGAATAAATTCAATTATTTTCTAAAATCATAATAAATCCTTCAAAGCAATTCAATTATTTTTATAAATGGCAAAATTATTCGCAAGAATTCAATTATTTTTATAAATAGTAAAATTCTTTGCAGGAATTCAATTATTTTCAAAACATCTTTAATTGAATTTCTCGGAAGAATTCAAATATTTTCAAATATTTCCATAAAATTCAATTATTTCATAAAATTTTTAATAATTTCTTCGAAACAATTCAACTATTTTTATAAATCACAGGTCTCCTCAGGGGTGGGCAGGTTATTCTAAAATGTAACGCTACAAACTTAGTGGGGAGTTGTTCTAAATGACTTCCAAATTCCAAATTTTCAAACCCATAAATCGTACCTGATCCTCTTTTCGAATCATCTCTTTTACAGATAGTCGGAAACTTAAAAATGTATTATCTTAATGTGGGAGCTTTGATTCAGAAGACTGCTGATTTTTCGTTATTAAAAATTTTTTAGACCAAGATTTTGTAGATAATTATGTTCATGATTTTGAGAAAAGTGGGGATAGGGGAGAGTGGGGCAAGACGGGGTACTTAAGGTTTAAAGCGCAAAAAACGAAAATTATCGAATAAATATTTTATTATTTTCTTTAATAACCATCTTTGGGAATCAGTCTTTACTAATAAAAGCGTACAAAGGCCATCTGTTTCTTAAAAAATCATAAAATTTATAATATGGAAAAAATTGCAAATCTCCCTATCTTGACCCACCGGCGCGGTACTAAAAAAGCAACCTATTTCTGTCGACAAATTTTACAAGTAAAGGTTGGATCTTTATCTTCGTCATCGACACCAGCACAACTGCACATAGCCCATTGGCCGCAGACAGAACAAGCAGCCCAGCCTTCATTTGAGTCTAAATAATAACCATTACAATTTATAGAGACAAGGTGTATTTTCCACTTTACCATCTCTAATTATTGATTTAACCTGACAAGCTTTTTTTTCTTTTTGGTCACTCTTATTTTATTCAGTCTTGATTTAAGTAGTTTTCTTAACTTCCCTTATTTCTCTTTTCTTTTGCTTCATTTGTGTACCCCGTCTTGCCCCACTCTTCCCTACCCTATCTTGCCTGCACCTACGAAATTGAATAAAATGAATAATTACTACAATTTACGATTGAACAAAGAAAAAAACATATGCTTCCCTTCTTCTGTAACCCTTGCCAGTTATAAAATTTTTTATATAGTTCATTAATCGTTATTATTAAATAATAAACACCTCCTAAAAAAGTGAAAAATTCACAAGAAAATCGTCGAAAACAGTTTTTTTAGTAAAACAGGTAAAAGATTTGTTCTCATGGCTTTTAGGTTTTGTAAACAAGAAACTATCGTCTCGGTGTAGTATTATGTAAAATATAATCGATGATTTTTGGGTATTTTACCCCCAATTTTCTCAAAATCCTGACGTGATGGGAGGTTTTTGTTAAATGTTAATTCGGATTTAGCGCACCAAAAGCTTCGGTAAATGACTTCTCGATCTCAGACAACGGAAATTTTTATTTTTTGCAGGCTTCTGAAATTATATATATATATATATATATATATTCATATCTGTAGCACTTTAACCTGTGACAGACGTGTCCAAATTCAAAAAATCAAAAAGTTTCTTGAAGAAGAGACAATTCGGAACCATAATTATCTATAAAAACTTTGTCTAAAAAATTTTTAGTAACGAAAAATCAGCAGTCTTCTGAATCAAAGCTTCCACATTAAGATAATACATTTTTCAAGTTTCCGACTGTCTGTATAAGAGATAATTCGAAAAGAGGATCAGGTACGATTTATCGGTTTAAAAATTTGGAATCTGGAAGTTATTTGCAACAACTCCCCACCAAGTTTGTAGCGTTACATTTTAGAATAACCTGCCCACCTCTGAGGAGACCTGTGAAATTACTAAATAAATTTTCAAAATTTACAATAAAAAAGAGTTTCAATAATTGAAATTTTGTAAAATTTTATTGAAAATAATTGATTTTTTTAAATTTTTGAAAATAAACTTTAAAAGAATTTTAATTGCTAATTTTGAAAATAATTGATTTCTCAAAAATTTTAATGAAAAATCTGAAAGTGTAAATTTAAAAATAGTAATTAATAAAAATTAGCTACAAAAAAATTATCTAAAAATATTTATGATAAAAATAATTCATAGAATTTTTGCATTCTAATTTTTTAAAATTCAATTGTTTTCAATATTTTAAAATAAAAAATTTCCAAAAATTCAAATACATAGAAAAAAAACATTAAAATTTTTTACAATTAATTTTTCCATTTTAACAATATATGATTTTTTTAGATTTATTAAAATTTTGGAGAAATCGCGTTTATATTAATAATTAAAATTCTTTAAAAATTCAATTATTTTTTAAATACAATTTACCAAATTTCAATTGTTTGGAAATTTTTCAATTCTATATAATTGATAAACAATTATTTTTCATAAATTATTTTAAACATATTTTTGAAAAATTAATTTTAAGAATTTCTTTATTATAATTTTTTGAAAATTGATTAATAACTTAAAAAACATGGACAGTTAGAATCCTTATAAAGAACTGAATTTTTGTATTTAAATAATAAATCTGTTTATATTGTGGCCTTGGGTCCTTTGGACCCAAGGTAACAATATAAACAGATTTATTTGACAAAAATTAAGATCCTGAAAACATTCTAAGTTGTATTTAAATAACTGAATTCTCTAAGAACTTTCGGAAAATTATTAAAAATAATTGATTACGAGAAGAAGTTTGATTAAAAATTGTAGAAAATAATTGAATTTTAAGAGAATTAAAGTTGTAATTTTTAGAAGTTATTAAATTTTAGAAGGTTTTAAATAGAAATTTTTAAAATTTTATTCACGTATAAAAATAAACAAGAAGTATTTAAATATTTATTTAACGAAATTATTCAAGTTTTAAATAATTAAATTTAGAAATCAGTGAAAGATCAGAAGAATAAAAAATAAAATTTTTGTGACGACACTGAATTAAATAAACGACTTTTTCGACTTTTTTGCTATTTTAAATCGACTAAAGCGACTTTTTTTGCATCTTAAAGTCGATCCGAGGCCTGCCAGTGAAAAATACTATCAGTAAAAAATACGTCAATAAGAATTAATATCTGTAAACAATTACTGTTAGTAAAAAATACCATTAGTAAATATTTCTGCCAGATTACCTAATTAGTAAAAAATACTGTTCTAAAATAACCATCAGTTTTGTACTGTATTTTTAATTTCTTTATTAGATTTTCAGTCACTAGGTTCGACTTTATGCACGAATCGTTTGATATCATCCTTCAAAAAACTAATTTCTTGCTGACACTCCTGAAGTTCGGTTTTATATTTCATTTGCAATTTCTCATTGTTCTTACAAGCCCTGGCCAATTTGCGTTTAGCTTCATCGGGACTGACATTCTTTCCCTTCAGTCCCAAAATATATTCCATGTCACTAATGTGTTTCTCCGCTTTTTTCAGACCCTCACGCAAAGGATTTATTTCCGTCAACAATAAAATATTATCATCCATAAGTTTCTCCTGTTTATGCTCATTGGACGTGTCCTGAAATACTTGCTTCCGTAGACTTGCAATCGTTCGCTCCAAATGATCCCGCTGCTTATTGAATTCACACTGAACGTCAAATTCCTCGCGACGAATATTAAGGAATGCATCGTCATTGCAGTATTTGTGGTAGAGTTTTTTAATTGCTGTTTTTAGGGTCTTTGGTTCTTGCACTAGGCGAGCAACGTCAAAAATATCGATGTGCATCCTCTTGAGGAGCATTTGGCATTTTTTGTTCTTTTCGGACTCGGAATTACTGGCACGCTTTACGGTGATGAATTTTTGTTTCAGGTGACGATATTCGAGTTCGATGTTTATGTTGGTCTTGTGGAGGTTTATTAGTTCTGTTTCCATGTGATGGATTTTTTCCCTGTGCTCCTGAAGTTCTTTGTCTTTTGGATCGATTTGTGTTTTGAGTTCGGTGATTTTTTGGTCGAGGAGAAATTTGTATTTTTCTAAATCGCGTTTGTCGGACTTTAGATTATTTATTTTTGTTTCGTTTTCATGGATTGTTGATTCTTTGTCGTGGATTTTGTTTTGTGAGGTGTCTAGTTCCTTTTCGAGATTTTCGATTGTTTTCTTGAGAAATGAACGTTCTTCGTTCCAATTGTCGATTTTTTGGATTAGTTCCTCTTCGTTTTTTTGACTTGTTAGGTATTTGTTGCGCATTAGGCCAATTTCGCCGCGGAGTTTTAGAATTAGTTGTCTCTCGTTCTCGAGGAATTTTTCATTTTCGACGCGAAGGTGAACGATCTCTTGATCGGCGTCATCCTCGATTTGGAGTCTCATTTGCTCGTTGATTTTTTCTCGGTGGGACATTTCTTCTTTGAGTTCGTCCAGTAGGTCAATTTTTTTCTTTAGTTCCTCCTCGTACTTTAAAGACAATTTTTTCATATTTTCGTTTTTAATTTGATCGAGTTCTTCGATATGTTTGTCATTTTCTTGTCGCATTAGGAAATGTTGTTTCTCGAATTTGTTGTACTTCTCGTATTCTGTTATCAATTTTGTCTCGTAATTTGTCTCGAGGTTCTGAATTGTCTTTTCGTGGTTTGATTTTAGTTTTGATATTTCGTTATTAATTGTGCTTAGTTCATTCTCGTGATCCTCTTCGAGTTCTTCTATATTACTTTGCAGTTGTTGGATGGCCTCACCATAGCCTTGGTGAATATCGCGAATTGTATCGTTGTGTTGAATTTCGTTTTGTTTCAGTTTATAGATGTGCTCGGTTTCTAATTCCGTTACGCGAATTGACAAATCTTGAATTTGTTGTATTTTCGTTTTGAGATCGGATCGATCTATCAGAACTTGTTTTGCGATGAAATCGTCTTTTATTTGAATATCCGGATGAGTGACTTTCCAGAAACATAAAGTGCCATCGACGCCGGTTGTTATTAGGGTTCTCTCATTGTAGGCAAAAGCTAGCTGAAAATTAATTTTTTATTTTGGATTTCCGAAAAATCTGTTTCATTTTGTTAGGATATTTTTTACTATTTATTATTCACAGTTTTCTTGAAAGTATAAAATTTTATTGATACCAAAAATTTGGAACAACTTTTGATTTGTGCCACACTTTTGGTATCAATTCGTTTCCATTTGATACTTTTAAGTAAACAGTGTTATTATCTATTTTTATTATTTATTTTACACCTCAGTGATATCACTGCTGTGAATACGGAAATCTTGAAATTCAGTCGGTTCTTGTAGAGGATATTTAATCGAAACAACAGTTCCACCTGGACAGGAAAGAAGCATCATTGGATTATCCTTTCCGAGAATAATCCGACTCAATTCCCAATTATTGCAGTTAAAACTTCTGATTACCTAAAAAAGAAAATTATTGTTATTTTATTATTATTACTAGCAAATGTTAAGCTACAAAATTAAAAAAATTCACTTGTTTACTAAATAATAATTAACTATAATAATTTGAATGTTCTTTCATTCATTCATTCACTTTTTCTGTCCCTCACACTCTGAAGTTGTCTGAAGTTGTTATTATTTGTTAACTTAAGATAGATTGTATACTAGGGTGGTCCAAAAAACAAAAAGTCAGAATTTTTTTGCTCTCACCCTCCAGGATTGAAGTTTGTAGGAAAAAAATACCCCTAATTTTTTTCTTCATAATAAAATAATATTAACCCGTGCCTCAAAGCCCCTCAATTTTCTTATGTATTTTAAATGAGAAAAAAACCATTTTTCGTAAATCTCCTATAATATTAACATATTCGTCGTCGTTTTGTCGTCCGTCGGTCGTGTAACTCCGTACTTCATCGTTCGGTCGTTCGACTTTTATCATTTATTCATCGTATCGTATATATACATACTCATTGTACATACATATACGCATGCGCAGTAGTATTCTATCAATGGTACGCATGCGCAGTAGTGTTCTGTGAATGTCAGGCATGCGCAGTAGTGTTCTATCAATGGTACGCATGCGCAGTATTATTCTATCAATGTCAGGCATGCGCAGTAGTATTCTATCAATGGTACGCATGCGCAGTAGTGTTTTGTGAATGTCAGGCATGCGCAGTAGTGTTCAGTGAATGTCAGGCATGCGCAGTAGTATTCTATCAATGTCAGACATGCGCAGTAGTGTTCTATCAATAATACGCATGCGCAGTAGTGTTCTATCACTATAAATTCAGAAACATTCAGAACTTTAAAATTAAATTTTTTAATCCATACACAATCTAAAAATTATTTTTCTACAATAAAAATTCCCAAAGCCCAAAATGTCCAAAATATGAAATTTCCAAAATAAGAAGTGTTGAATTGTACTGTAAGTGAAAAGAATTAGATTATTGAGTATTGAGATTTAACAATTCTATTTCTGTGTAAGATATTTTTAAAAAATCATTATTGTTAATGTTTTACAAAAATTTAAATAACTTCTAAAAACATGAACACTTTTAATGATCTTAAGCTTACTTTAAAGGTTATTTTCTACAGAATGGGAATTACTTGTAGACATTAACGTGTAATTTTTTCTTGGAAATTGCAGGTCGGCAAAGTAATACACAAAAATTTTAATTTGAAATAATTTTTTTGTACAAAAAACTATTCTTTAAAAAATATAAAACATGATATGATGTAGATTTTTCAAGAAAATTTAGTAAAAAAATACGTTTGAATTTTAAAAATTATTTTTCTGTTAACCCGTTGCCTGTTAACGACCGTTGATGGGTAGTAAACTTCTTAGCGCAAAATAAATGCAATTTTTTATGAAAATTATAAAATAAATTGTTTTATATCATTATTAACACACTATTGATTGCAATGATCCTAAATTAAGTAATAAATAAATTATTATTTATTATTTTTAAATAATATAACAATTTAAAAACCAGTAAAATTTATGAAAATTTGTTTTTAATTCAAGTCACATTTAGTGTATAAGGGTTTTTGGAGTCGGTGAATTCGAATTTGATCTTAATTTTAAAAAATTCAAAATGGCGGACATCATTTTTGAAATTCATTTGGATTTTTATCAATTTTAGTACCTAAGGGTTTTTCAGGTCGCTGAATTCGAGTTTGACCATCATTTTTAAAACTTCAAATGCAGGATCCAAATTGGCGGACATACTTTTTGAAATTCATTTGGATTTTTATTAATTTCAGTATCTAGGGATTTTTCGGGTAGCTAAATTCAAATTTAACCTTCATTTTTAAAAATTCAAAATAGTAGACATAATTTTTAAAATTCATTTGGATTTTTATCAATTTCAGTATCTAGGGATATTTTGGGTCGCTGAATTTAAATTTGTCTTTTAAAATAAAAAATTATGGATTCAAAATGAGGGACGTAATTTTTTTAATTCATCCCGATTTTTATCAAATTTTGTACTCTATTCTATATCCTTTGCATTAGCTGATAAAACGAATCATGACCCCAGAATGTGCCGCGTGGAGGCTGCAAAGGTTTTACATTACACTTTCTGTTCTTTGTTTTTTTTTGTTTATAATATCTGTTTAAAATTTAAAAATTTTGTCCGAAATATTGGATCCACCATTTTGAATTTTTTTTGACGTCATATTAATATTCAGCGACCCCAAAAACCCTTGTATACTAAGTTTCATAAAAATTCATCTAACAGATTTTGCTGAACATTCTGGGGCAATCATATGATTATTATTTTTCCAAACAGCGAAGGGGTTTATAAGATTGTTTCAAATTTTTTAAATTCTTTTGGTCTAAGTTTGCCAACCTGCATTTTCTATGAAAAAGTTTCGTATATTCGCATAATTCAAGTTATTTGAATCAAATAAATATATAGATAAAAAAAATTATTTGAATGCGATAATTTTTTTTAGTGTGCTAATACTTTTACGTATGCAACTGGAAGAACATTAATTTATTTATTATAAATTTGGTATAAGGACTACATAAATAATTATTTGACGCAATTAAAGAGATATTGGTCTAAATTAAAATAATTAGTTATGAAAAATAATTGCATATTTGATATAAATAAGGGAAATTCCACGTCAATACGGACAGAGCTCTAAACAAAAATTGCTTTGATGGATTTAAACGTTCTAGGGCTTAAAAGATTTCTACATTCATGTACTTTAAGCTGCCGATGGGCGTTTTTTTGCAAATTTTCATTTCCGATGCCAATAGAGCTGTCAAAAGTCAAATGGTCCAAAAATTTCAAAATACTTTTATGAATTAAAAGCACAAAAAGAGGTAAGTTATTTTGTAACTCATTCTTTAACAGTTTTTAGGGTCCCCGAATATAAATCTAAAGTTTTTTTTAAAATTCAAAATGGCGGATCCAATATGGCGGACAAAATTCAAATTTGAACAGATTCGATTAAAACTTGTTACTCGGGGGTTTTTAGGGTAGCTGACTACGAATCTGAAGTCACTTTTTAAAAATTCAAAATAGCGGAAAAAATTTCAAATTTGATCCGATTCCCTTAAAACGTGTTACTCGGAAGCTTATGGGGCCACAGATTACAAATATGAAATCACTTTTTAGAAATAAAAATGGCGGATCCAATATGGTGGACAAATTTTTAAATTTGATCAGATATAATTAAAACGTGTTACTTGGGGGTTTTTTAAGGTATCTGTTTACGAATCTGAAATCACAATTTAAAAATTGAAAATAGTGGATCCCATATGACTGAAAAAATGTCCAATTTTGATACATTTCGCTTAAAGTTTATTGAAACTAAAATTTTTTTCTGCTCATTTTTTTAAAGATGATAAAATTTTGAACAGAAGAAGATATTTCAGAAGTCGTTTGGCCAATAATTCATTTAAATATTTTTAAAAAATCGCCATTTTCAATGTTTTACAAAAATTTGAATAACTTCTAAAATAAAAACTTGAACCAGAAAAATATAAAAAAATTGAAACATTCTTATTTACAGAAAAATAATTTTTAAAATTCAAACGTATTTTTTTTATTAAATTTTCTTATAAAATCTACACCATATAAAGTTTTATATATTTTCTAAAATAGTTTTTAGTACAGAAAGATTGTTCCAAATTTTTTGAATTTTTTTTGGTCCAAGATCTTCTAAAAGATCTTGTTCTTTTCAAAATTTTATCATCTTTCAAAAAATAAAAAGCAAAATATTTTAGTTTCCATACATTTTATGTTTTAAAATGTTTTTCAATCACCTGAAAATGGATGGTCTCTCAATTTTGACCGGTAGTGTAGATTCGTAATCAGCGACCCTAAAAACCACCGAGTAACAAGTTTTAATCGAATCTGATAAAATTTGAATTTTGTCCGCCATATTGGATCCGACATTTTAGATTTAAAAAAAAACTTTAGATTTATATTCGGGGACCTTAAACAACTGTTAAAGAATGAGTTACAGAATAATTTACCTCGTTTTTTGCTTTTAATTCATAAAAGTATTTTGAAATTTTTGGACCATTTGACTTTTGACAGCTCTATTGGCATCGGAAATGAAAATTTGCAAAAAACACCTATCGCCATCTTAAAGTACATGAATGTAGAAATCTTTTAAGCCCTAGAACGTTTAAATCTATCAAAGCAATTTTTGTTTAGAGCTCTGTCCGTGTTGACGTGCGGAGTGTCCCATAAATATTTAGTTATTTTAAAAAAATTATTTTATTGATGCAAATAAATATTTATTTGAATTAAAATTCATGCATTACTGAATCAAGTAATTTTCCTAATTGATTTAAAGCAATATTTATTAGATCCAATTATTCCATTCATTTGACTTAAATAATTCGAATTTGCTACAAATAACTATTTATTTGATACTACAAATTAAAATTTTTATATCAAGGGCAGTTCCATACGAAAAGTAAATGGTGGATCACCGATTTTTCTTAAAGTTTGTAATTTTGTAGTATCCCAGGTGCGATTTTTTGGTCGGCCCATAGTTGGGCCAACTTTTACAAAGTCTGTCCAACTTCTCGTGCCAGAGGTTGGGCCAACCATACAGATGATAACGGTTCGCCGTCTAATGGCGACGATGGTTGGCCCGACAACTCATAAGGAAGTTGGCCCAACTTACAATGCATATGTTGTGCCAACTATACATTTCAATGGTTGGTCCAAAGACTGACGCCAAAGTTTGCACAACTTTAGATGCGTAAGTTGGGCCAACCACAATTTTCAAAGTTTGGTCAAATTCAACAGCCAAAGGTAAAAAATTATTAAAAAACTAAATTATTTAAACAATTAACAGATTATTATTAGCGGGAACATCAGATATAACCTTTACCTATTATACTAGTACTTGCCAAAGTTGGGCAAACTCTGGCAACCAAAACTTCGCTTGCCAAAGTTAGGCCAACCTTGGGCCAACCTTCAAACTCTGGCGGC